TAAAATTCACGAAATGTGGAACCGAGATGGAATGACTGGGCTTTACAGGAAGGATTTTTACAGGTCGATCAATACAATGATCACGTTTACCGATAGGAGGGTGATACTAAAGACTTTGTCCTTCTTCGTCCTGCGCTGTGATGATCAGGTCCAACAGCGACGGCTGTTGGCCTTCCCGATACCTGGGCGCGGGATTGAATCGATTCGAGGTAGCTTTCGCCTGAACCTCGAGGACACCTCCGGAGCTCCCAGTCAACATACCTAAGATTGAATTCACCCATAACGACCGGTCTGGTCGAATATCGAGCTATGTTGTCTAGTACCTGAATAGTTTGTTGGTACTCCAAATGCGTGGCACTAGGACCCCTATACACGCAGGCGATTGACATTTTTCTGCTGTTTGTAATAAGATCCACTGCAACTAGCTGCAAATTGAGAGTAGAAACCTTAGTATTCGATTCTACTGAGCATAAGTTGGTTCTTAGAAGCAGGTCTGCTCCTTCACCCTGTACAGAGCCACCCCTATCTGTTCTGTAGGTAACAAAGTTATCCTGAACTTTACTAGGGTAAAGATCACTCTTTGAGATCCAGGTTTCTGTAATGCCTACAACGGTAGCCTTATGGATCTCTGCTGCCATCAGAACCTCGGCCCACTTGTTTCTGACACTGCAAGTATTTGCATACAGCAGTGTCATCCGCTTCTGTCGATTTCCTATTTCGAATTTCTCCTCGGGCGAAGAACCCGAGCAGAACCCACTTTTTTGGGGGTCTCTACAACAACCACCTCGCGTGGATTGACACATCCTACCGTACAATCCTGTCCCCTGGACTCTGATGCCTTCTTCAGGGGCATTCTAGTCGCACAGGTCGTGTCCCCGTGCCGATCTACTGTATCACTTACTGCTGAAGATTGAATGCAACTCTGCCATTCTTCTTCTTCCAGTATGACCTCTACTATGACGATCGCCGTATTGGCCACAGGGTCAGAGCCTCGACGACCCATCAACCCCGTTTTTGCAGGTATCTGCTGTTGGGGCTACGCTCGATTTTGGGGCCCGAGAAGTTGCCTTGGTTGATCAGGGACTATCCTAAATCGTCCCTGCGT